TGCATTCAAGCACACTAGATGGAACTCTTCTTAACATCTCTTTTTTTTTAACTATGTTGTTTTGAAATCTATTCTAGTGATTGTCCCTATATTTTTTAATTAGCATATAGATGTTCGCTATATTAAAAAAAGAATCCCCCAGTGGCACAGCGGTATGTCTGCAGACTTACAGTGCTAGAATCCGGGTTTCGATACCCGTGGTGGGCAGAACACAAATAGCCCATTGTGTAGCTTTGTGCTTAATTACAAACAAGCAAACATATTAAAAAATAGGTAATATTACGCCTCATACATCAGTTTTTTTCTTTGACCTATTTTAAGCCAATGAATATATATATATATATAAAGCAAGGTTAAAATAATAAATGTGAATATTGTATTTGGTTTACTCACACATCTTGTGGCATTTAATTAATGAAAGTGATACATCTTTTAAATCACAATTATCTATCATTACAAAACAATGATATATTATTGCATGTTCTGACCACATTTTTGTGGGGGGGTTTCTGTTTGATGGTGACTCAGAAAATGTTGTCGAAACATGTAGCAAAATATCCTTGCTTTGCATAATAATAAATAAATGTGGTTTAAAAGTTGTGCCACTTCCATGAATATTTTATTCCTAAATATTTACTCCTCTTTACCTCCTTATTTTTTATACCTTAGTCGTCGGTTGATAAATGAATAATATAATTATATTTATCATAAATTATTACTATTAGGTCTATTATATTTTTAAATACTACATTCTTTATCTAGTCCCTTGGAATTTTCAAGAATTAGAAAAGTGTATTGAAATAATATTCCAACGATACAATATTTTGCTAAACTGTTAAATAATAACAAAATAGTCATTTGTTGGCGGTAAGAGCTTTATTAAAGGTTCTCGCTGCCTTTTTTTTCAGTATACTGTAACATATTGTTACGACAGCGGTAGTCACGTGACTATGGTAACACGTCATGGGTTTCTAGAAGGAACATCACTTTTCTCGGCAACTCTAGTCTTTTCCAGGCGCCCTCTATTTTAGTATATAAGCCAGGCAAATAAAGCGGAGATATAATTGCAGATAGGGAGATATAGAGACAGATAATCGAGTCAAGCCGTAAGTAAAGTGTGTAAATCATTGTGAATTATAGCGTGTGTTTAAGTTAAAGTGACAGTGGGAATTCTGTATATTGCAAAGTTGTATTGAGGAAGAATAAACTAGTTTATTTAAGAAAGGACTTGTATCGCTGAAGTTCCTCGGGAAGAATTTTTACGGGAAATTAACAAACGATCAGAGACGTAACAATATGTTATAAATACCACCTAAGTTATGTATGCAGTGTATTTTTTTTTCTTTTGTAGATTCATTTCCACTCCCTTCCTCAAACAATAGCATTACAGATACATGGTATTCTCAAATTAATCAGGGGGATTCAGGTAGCTTTCCATCAAAATATCTCTAATACTTACTACAAATGTTTAGGCAAGTCTTATTTCACAGCTAGTCACTTCGATATTCCACACTTTAATCACGAATCGTAAAACGTTATATATGGAGTTTATTTTCTTAAAAGTCTGTATTTCTCATCCATAGATCTTTTTTATCCCCATCGTCCTCTTGCAGGTTAGTTACGTACGTTTTGTCACTGGTTTCTAGTGGAAAAAATCTTTTTATTTGCCGATTTTATTTTTAAAAGTGCTTCAGTGGCTGCAAAATTATAAATAATTCAAGCTTCTGTGTTGTATATTATTTTTTTATGATTAAGACATGATAAATTCGTAATTCAATAGTAAGCAGTCTATCAAAGAAACATTAATTTTTGGCTCTATTGGTTAAAGTTTTTATACCCCTTCCATCATCTCATGGAAGAAAAAATAGATCATTTAACATTTACAGAATGGGATAAAAACAGCATGTCCTTTAAATTATACGTTAGTTACGTCTTACCGTTAGAAGTATTAGAATATTTGAATATTCATACACACGTGTGTATATTAAATAGCTACGCACACTATGAATAAAAAAAATTATTTTTGGGTGTTAATGTAAACATAAAATATTCAAAATTTCAAACGAAAAGAATAAAAATGTGTTTCAGTACATAAAAGATGTAAAAAAGGTGTTTAATAATTAACGTTGATTTTATTATTGTAAAATATTCTTTGTATAACTAGTTTTCAAGGTTATTTGAATGATAATAAAAAAAACCAGTGAATGTATGTATGTTATAGTTTCAACGATTGTAATTAACGTCGTTTCAAAATTCCATCTGGTAAACCAAGCAGAGAAGTCATTAATCACTAAGATTATCAAATAATAAAATTCTTCACGTACTTTCTCGAGACATTTAAGGCACAGTAAATTGACAAACAGCGATTTATAAGCATAATCAAAAATTCTCTTATGTTTTATATTCTTTCATAAAATAACTTTCATAACGGTTATAAATCATTGTTTGCCAATTTGCTATTGTATTAGCATAATAAGCTTCTGTACACAAGTACGTGAGTGTCAGAAGCCAGTTATCTTTCCATCTTCACTGGTATAACCAAAAATTGCAAAAATGTACAAAGTTTCTTAAATTTTTCGAAGGAATATGATAATGTGTGAACCCTTAAGTGTCGACAAACACAGTAGCAATTTTTTCACGCAAGCTTTATTTCTCGAATTAAACAAGACCTATAATATTAATCATGCTACATTAGCAATTGTCACCATAGCAATTATATTGAAACTTTGTTGAATGGACGGCAACTGCCTGTTGTAGAAACACGGGTGTAGAGGACGACGTTTCGAAAGTCTTCCTTCGAAATACACTTAGCAACGATATTGTTCACACAAATACTATTCTTCGAAGTAAACATAGCAACAACATTGTTATGATGTTTAACACCGAAAGGAAAAAATACACAAATGTACTTAATATTTGTGATAAAATAGCTCTTAGTTCCAGGCATTTTTTTTATTGTTTTCCTTTGAATTAGTCAATCACGGATGTGTAAAAATAGCCACACGTCGTTTTACCTACGAGGCATTTCGCTTAATACCAGAACTTGTCAGCTGGGCAGGACGTGATGAAAGATAAAATTCTATAGAATTTGCTATGTTTTCTCTTACACGAAAAGATAATTAAAGTTACTGAGTTAAATGTCAAAAACCAATAGACCTAATATTCGTGACAAACATTACATTAGACTGTATAACTGCATACTTTTTATTTGACATTTCTCTTAATTAATCCATTATGGAGTTCAAATAAGAAGCATGTAAAAAATAGCATTTTAAATGTATCTTCTGTCTACATATAAAATTGGTATTGTTGATACACTCTTGTCTACCATCATGTCTAGTACAACTAACGAGTTCTGATATTGAACGAAAGGCCTTCTGGGCAGCGAAGGGTAACAAACACTCTAGTAATTTTTTGTTACTGTTTTTATATGAGAAAATACGCAAAAAAATGTTGTTCTCGTGCCAGGATACTTATGAATCTAAGCCTAACAATACAATTGCTCACTGTGTCGTCAAAGGCTCATTGTGAATATTTTGTTTCTTTCAGTGTTTTCATTCTAAATAAGAATAATAATTGTATTGTTTCTTTATACCAAGGTTTATCTTATGCATACTTGTAGACTGTTTCAGAAATTAATTAAGATAGATTAAATCTGACATAGAGGTGCCGTTAGCAGAGATTATAGTTGAAAAACCAAGCGTGAACATTTTGTGTTATCATCAGTGATGAAATCAATGTATTTGGTTTATTCGATATAAATAATGACACGTCTAAACCCTTCAACTACGCTCCCTAAAAAGACATAAATATTTATGTTACAGAAATTATTTTTTGGTCAAAGTTAAATACCAATGTCAAGCTCTGTGTTTATAATTATATATTTTTTAATCTTCTCTCATTTCCATGAGATATGTTTGGCTGCGAAATGAAGTTTGAGTTTTTTCCATTATATTCAACTATTTCAACTGTGTTTATAATTGGATTTTTTTAATCTTCTCTCATTTCCATGAGATATGTTTGGCTGCGAAATGAAGTTTGAGTTTTTTCCATTATATTCAACTATTTCAACTGTGTTTATAATGATAAAATGTATTGTGTAATCTTAAAAATACTTGGATAATTTTCCTATCTTTAAAGTACCGAAGTTATAACCTCCGCCAATTTCCAAATCAGGGAAGCAAACGTCTTTTTTTTCTTTTCTTTTGGCAGAGTTAACAAAAAACAAAAGTTTCAACTAAAGGTGGCGCTAAAAACGTACTTTCTAAGTACAGTGAACCTCATATCGTGGTTCAAAATTTCGGCAGTGAAGTTTACGTCGTTTGGACTTCTTGAAGTATGTGATTAAATGAACTATATATTGGTTCTAACTGCAGTCCTTTTTCCAATATAACCACTTTAGTAATAACGATAAAAAAATGGTTTCAAAGATAATTTCCTTTTCCTGAAATTTGGAAGATTAAATATATATAAAAGCAAGTTTAAAATTCTTCTGTTAGTTTACACTAAACGTCCATTCAAAACAGTGTGAAAAAATAATACACAAGAAACTAACGTATAGGAAATTATAAATTTTCTCATTGCACTCACTGTTGGTGATACGATTCTGTTATGACAAAGCTTTTGTAAATCATAAAGTTGCTGTGATGTTTTATACGTTAACAAAAACATGACTAAGTAGAATGAAATGTTAAATAAACTTACAACTGCGTAAATATTTGCCTGTGGTGTCTCAAAAGGTTGAAAAGTCATTAATTTTGGTCGGGTACAAGTGCATATGTTTCGATATATCTATATATGCATATATGTATGCCTGTATTTATACTGGTATATATCTATTATACATATATGTATGCCTGTATTTATACTAGTACATATCTACTATATATACACACACACACATACACGTATAAGTAAAACGAAAGCAATAAAGCGATAGAAGTGATAACCATCAAAAGCTATAACTTCGATTATTAGAGAGATGTTTACACGTAATACAGTTTTATATGGATTTTAGCCGCATTTTTAGTAATCTTTATTGTATCAGCAAAGTTAGTGCTACATATTTTTGCCATTCACCTAGTTTGCGTTATACATATACATATATCTATGTAAAGCAGGAAAACAAAGCTTTACAATCTCAAAACACATTGTATACTAAATCATGCAAAGAATGTATGATCTTTACGATCTTATATTGAAATAGATTTGGGGAGTTTTACACTACCTAAAAGTTATGTATTTACAAAATAAATAATATCTAGTAAACTGTAGTTGAAGATTTCTTAACTCACAACTGGGAATTAACAAAGGATTTACATACAATTAATTGTTAAATAATTATCTAATTACAAAACATAATAGTCAAAATTAAAACTCCAGCATGAATTAATCCTTTTCATCACAGCAATGACTTCGTTTTTGCAAAAATATAGTAATTTCATTGTTATATAATGATTTTGAGAAAAATGTAATGTATATGATTTGTTGGGAAAGGAGCTACAACCTTGACTCCTTCAAACATTTTGAACATTAATTAAGAACTGAAGAAACTGTTTCTCCTTTAACATTCAGGTAAAAATTTATTGTAATGTTTTACGGATATTTTTATGATAGCCGAATACAATTAAAAGTTATTTTTATTAATATATACAAACTTTACTATGCTGTTGCACATAGAAAACTTGATGAAAAGAAAGGCGTTTTAAACAATTTAAAATGTTCAAATTACTTACATCTTGAATGTTTTTATCTTTTAAAACTTTTTAAAGTTTCTCATTTTTCATGCTGTCTCTGTATTGTATTTATCAGTATTAAATTTGATAATCGTAGACAAAATAATATTATACTGTCATGTTTGAGATGACTGATAAACGTATAATAATAAGTAGAAAGTGGAGCCACAGTTCTTCCAAAGACGTGTCGTGAAACGTGAGAGACATCATGAAAATTAGCTTTGAGTTTACGTAAATAGTTTCAAACATCATCAGATAATGGTCGTGAACACACAAACAAAGTCGGTAACGTCTACAACAATTTGCTACAACAGCTTATCTTAGACAGTACATTAATCAAGAACTTCAATATCGTCGCAATAAACATAAAGCATTCAATAATAAAATGACAAACAACGATTTATAAGCATCAGGAATGGTTTATTTTGGGGTGAATGTACTACGTGTTTCGACAGAACATAGTTCTGTCTTCTTCAGAAACATTTCTGTCGAAACATGTAATACGCCTCCCCCCCCCAAAAAAAAAAGTATATCACTTCATTTTGCGTTACAAACTTCTGTTTGTCGGTTTATTATTATATTAACATAATGTGCTTACATACTCAAGTATGTAAAGCATTCCAATTAATACAAGTAATATGGCCAATAGAGGGTGTTGAAAATCAGGAATCCAAGAGGAAAGACAATTCTGCTTGTCTTATCAATTCGTTTGGCGCAACCCCTGGCGGGTAACAGCATCAGTGTGGAAACTTCCTTGAAATTTGCCACAGTTGGTAGGTTCGTAAGAGTTTCATTTAAACTTGATATCTAAAATTGCAAAAAAAAAAAAAACAGTCGAGGAGATGAAACCTAAGGTACCGTTTTTCTGGTTGAAATAACAAGTACAATATTTACATTGAATCCAAATTATCTATGGTAAAAATTATGAACTGAAATTTTTAACAGCTTAATAAAAATATATTTAATATTTGAAATCACCTTACCTTCATATTCATAAACATGTGTTGAACTATTTTTATAATATAACAGAATGAACACTATCTATACCAAAGCATAATAAGGAAAAAACAAAAACGCTAGTCTACAGTGTTTGCATATTAAGAATATTTCTCATGAAAATCAAACTGGATACTGGTGTTGATTTAGATTATTTTATATTATAAAATCTTAAATCGCGTTTTTAATATTTTTCGAGATTTCTATACCATTGTCCTTGTTTCAGCGTATGGATACTTGATTTGGAGGATTGTTTGTTTTTTAATTTCGCACAAACCTACACCAAGGCTATCTGAGCTAGCCGTCCCTAATTTAGGAGTGAAAGTCTACAGGAAAGGCATCATTACCCACCGCCAACTCTTGGGTTACTCTTTTAGCAACGAATAGTGGGATTGACTGTCACATTATAACGCTCCCACGGCTGAAAGGGTGAGCATGTTTGGTGGGATGGGGATTCGAACTCGCAGATTGTGAGTCGAGTGCCTTGACCACCTGGCTATGCCTGTCCTGCTTTGGAAGTAGTTAAGTCTATTTTCCTAGTAAACTAACATATTTGATTTGTTTGTTTGTTTTAGAGCAAAGCCTATTTGTTGCGTTCACCGCAGCGCATCTGAACTCACGAAAAAGAAGTACTGAAAAAGAACTCGTAATATATTTTTTAAGCCTGAATATTCTTGGAAAGTCCATTGTTTGTTTTTTAAAACTCAAGTTACACATGGGGGCTATCTACGCTGTGGGCCCTCAATCATATCGCTGAGCTACAAGGGGCAGGTTTTCATTAAGAAAAAAAAAAGGTTTATTTGGATTTAATTTTGGCGCATGGAAGTTAATGCATGTTTAAGGTAACGTAACTTTGTTACTCATACTTCAATTCATGTTTTAATCTTACTTGTTTCATTCCTCTCTCTCTCTCATTCGCGAGTTTTTCTTTTTACCATAGTATTGTCAGATACTGTGAAAGTAGCAGTATTTCAAGGCTACACCAAGCTAAGTTTTATCTTAGGCATAGGAGGTTCTTAGTTTAACGGTCATTATATGATTAAAAATATAAACAGATCATACATCCATATGGCCCATGTGACTAGCAAAATATGTTGTTGTTTTTATTGTGTTTGTTTGTTTGTAATTAAGCACAAAGCTACACAATGGGCTATCTGTGCTCTGCCCACCACGGGTATCGAAACCCGGATTCTAGCGTTGCAAGTCCGCAGACATACTGTTGTGCCATTGGGGGGGAGGGGGTATTGTGACAGCAAAGCTACTTTTTTTTATAAGCAAATACTTTTTTACTTTTTTTTCTATTTAACCGACGTAGAATATATATATATATATACAGTAGAGAGCAAAGAGTGGGTTAGTGGTAACTTGAAGGACTTACAACACTAAAATTCGGGATTCGATTCCCTATTATGGACAGAGATCATTGTATAGTTTTGCACGAAAAATAGGAATGTTCGTTGTTCAAAATTTAAACTACACCGTACCATAGAAGACTAAATGAATAAATCATCGACCTCGACATAAAGATTCTTTGTATGTTTGTAAAAAAATAATAATTATACAAACTAAATATACTTTTATGGTCTTACGCGTCAAACAACATAGTCCTGATAATGGTCGACAAAAAATAATCACAGGTGACGAGTTGATTTATCTTCGTATCATGTGATGGCAATGTTTGGGCTAGTTTGAATTTCGTGCAAAGCTAACATAAGAGCTACCTGCGCTAGACGTCCCTAATTTAGCAGTGATAGACTAGAGGGAAGGTAACTAGTCAACACCACCCACCGCCTACATTTGGGCTACTCTTTTACCAACGAATAGTGGAATTGACCGTAACATTATAACGCCCCCACGGCATGTTCGATGGCGGGGATGCGAACCCACCACCCTCATATTGCGAGTCTAATGCCTTAATCACCAGGCCTATAATGGCGAAGAACCCAGCTGAACGATAACTGTGACAGCAGTACAATCATAATATATGAAAGGGTCCTGTAGAAGAAAACAGAAACAGAAATTGTCCATTTTTTTATACGTCTTATGCGTGTATTCTGGAGTTGAAAACAGAATACTACATTTTATTCTCTAACCTCCACATTCTTCTTATACTTAGGTTTATATTTCGTTCCTATTTTACTTCCCTTTAGAATACATTTGATTTCAAAGTCACTTAAGAGGAAACTTATATTTCTTTCTTTGATATATATACCGACATGTTTTATGCTTCAAAGCCAAGTGACTTCTTTAATCAGGGCATTAACAACCTGATTGTAAGATGGAAAAGCATCATCGACAAGAATGGAGACTATTTCATTTAATAAGTGTTTTGTTTTCATATATAAGTTGTTCAGGTTTTTCATCTAAAGAAAAGCGACATTAATTTCTTGACGACCTAATATATATATAAGTTAATAATGGCTTGTACCTAATGATGACAAAACCTGGTCGAAACGTTGTACATTTGTTGTTATGTTAAACTTATATTAAAGTTTTCTTCACTACCCATTCAAGCCGTCTCCAGCCATTATTAATTTCAAAGTGGGTTCCTCGTCATCGTCATAGAATATAAGTTATATTCTAGAGCGGAAATAGGAGACTAATAGATATTAAATTTTATAAAAAATGAATTTTTGGTCTTGAACTTCACATTTTCTTACGTTTTAGCATTATTTTTCGTTCCTTTCCTCCAGCGGATCAGCGGTAAGTTTACAGACTTACAACATTTAAATCCAAGCTTCGATTCCCCGTGGTGGACATACTAGATAGCCCAACGTGGCTTTGCTCTAATATAAGTAAACAAACAAATATTTCTTTCCTGTTTCACTTCCATTTCGCACACGTTTGATCACAAAGCCAACCAACGTCAAAATTATGAATTGTATTTCACTTCTTTAGCTATCATTTAGTTTAATGCAATTAACTTCTTCTGTTTCTCTCTTTGATTTCAAGTGTTCTTTAAGAGATATTTCTCTTAAGTATTGTCAAATTCGGCAACTCTTCCGACGAGCAAAAAATGTAAGTCTGAAGACTTGGAATTTAACATTTGGCTAACGGTGTCACAGCTAAAGGATTCGCCTTTCGTGACAATAATAGCTTTTGACATGTTTTTAAAAACTGCGAATTCGGAAGAATGTATTCTTTCATTCATCCAGTTCAAATCGAAATTTAATAACGAATCTTTGAAAAGTCGAATGTGAGCTTTTAACATTAAAAGACGTCTTAAAAGGTTCCAGCCACAATTTACAACCCAATACTTTTAATAAAGGTTATTTCAAAAGACGTATGGCATCCACCTCAAGAAGCAAAAAAGAAAACACAGTAGTATATAATGTGCTATTTTTAAAGTTAAATATTTTTTTTTATAGAAAAGGATATTTTTTTAAATTGTGCTTGTTTAGAAACTCTTAAGATCTTACCATTTTTCTAGCCCGCTCAACCTCTTTTGTCAGCCATGTTATATTACTTCTCTAATTAGATATTCGAACAGTTTATCATCGTCGTTTAAAAAATATAAAATATTTCCTTGAAACTGTCGCATATATGTATATCAAATTAATTATCCGTGCTTACAGGATTCGTCTAAGTGTAAGTTATAGGGTCGCTGAACCCGAATATGTCAGTGGAATTTTTGTTTCTGTAGACGCCATGTCTGAACCGAACCTGTGCTTATATTCCAAGTTACCAAACTTAGCACACGTTTTCAGATACTACTGTTTTTTGTTGTTGTTGTTTGTTTGTTTTCAGATACGGACATTCTCTGTGGTTAACTCTAGAAGTACTAGGTTTACTGGAGAAGCTTTAGAAGTACGTTGGCTCTGTAATTCATAAAGGGGCCTTTACACCTCACAAATGAGAGAGGCTATTTTATGCTAATAATTTTAAAGTATCATAACGTCTTTTTCAAGTTCTACACTGATTTATGAAAAGCTTGTCAGATTATTGTGAATAAGAGATGCTAACTTCCGAAAACCAATTCTCTGTACCGACTGCAAATCCAAGTCACAAAGATGGAATATACCTTGTTCACAGAATAGTATGGGGTTATGACTAGCACTGCTCATAGCTATAGAAATGTAAATAAATCGAGAAGGTTAATTTAGAGTACTGCTTTAGTCCACAGTGAAGTGAGGAAGATAACTAACATTACTTATTAATGTAGAAATCAAGGCTGTTGAAATAGTTAGCTACTATATTTCACTGTTGTTACCCTGGTATTAGTGTAGGAATCAAGGCCGTTAAAACAGTAAAATACTATATTCCTCTGTTATTTCTCTAGTATTAGTGTATGAATCAAGGCCGTTAAAACAGTAAATACTATATTTCACTGTTGTTACCCTGGTATTAGTGTATGAATCAAGGCCGTTAAAATAGTAAAATACTATATTCCTCTGTTATTACTCTGATACTAGTGTATGAATCAAGGCCGTTAAAATAGTAAAATACTATATTCCTCTGTTATTACTCTGATACTAGTGTATGAATCAAGGCTGTTAAATTAGTAAACTACTATATTCCACTGTTGTTACCCTGGTATTAGTGTAGGAATCAAGGCCGTTAAAACAGTAAAATACTATATTCCTCTGTTATTACTCTAGTATTAGTGTATGAGTCAAGGCTGTTAAAATTTTAAACTCTTCTATTCTACTGTTATTACTCTGGTATTACCTATAAGATGAAGCATTCAGATAAACAAAAATAAAAACCACTATCCAGAGTTCTCTTACTCCTATAGATTTTTTCATTGTATGAAACTACATTAGGAACAGAAATAGTTATATGTACGGGCTATCACACTGACCAGTTCACACAAGTGAAATATATGAAAATATAAACATATATAATATAAATGTTTGTAAGTGTAGTAAATCACAGCTTACTGGAACAATCAAGGTAGTTTTCATCTCTCCGTCTTCTGTTTTCACCTCCTGGATGTTTCGTCGCTTCCTAGCCAAATAGCTTACAAAGGTGAACTCTATCAAAGCTGCAAAGACGAAGAAAGTGCACGTGCCCATCCAAACATCTAACGCTTTGACATATGAGACCGGTGCAAGATGAGATTGTTGGTCACTACTCTCAGATGAAATGGTCAGCAAAGTGGTGACGCCTAATGTTATTCGGGCAGGAATAGCGTCAACATCGAGCCAAAAGGAAACCCAGGAGATGAAGACGATGAGAGTGGAGGGAAGATAGTACTGAACAAGATAGTGACCAATGGATCGTTTAAGGTCGAGTTTAGCTCGAAGACAACTGTACTTCCCTGAGGAAGAATCTGAGTCTGTACAACTTTAGGACTTACACTTCATACATTAATACAGAACATCATATACTCAATGACATCAAACCGCCAAATCTGAATCTGTAAAACTTTGGAACTTAAACTTTACACATTAATACAGAACATCATATACTCAATAACATCAGACAGCCAAACACTGCACTCTACATTAAACAACGGAGTTACTTAGAACGGCTTGGTTTGGTTTGAATTTCGCACAAGCTATTTCAGGGTTAGTTGTACCAGCCATCAGTAATTTAGCAGAGATAGACCAAAGGGAAGGCAGCTAGTCAACACCACACACCTCCAACCCTTGGGCTACTCTTTTACCAACGAATAGTTAGGATTGACCGCACATCATAACGCCTTCATGGCTAAAAGGGCGAGCATGTTCAATGACGAGAATTCGAACCCGCGACCTGCATATTGCCAACCCTAAAATGATTTAGAAGTTAAGTAATTTATGAAAGTTATCTGTTTTTCTAGAATTTGTTTTAAAAAACATAATTTGCTGATGCTGTTATGTAGGTCAAACATGAATTGAAAATATTATAATAATTATAAAAATGTAATATAATGTTTCTATATGTCCATTTACAATGTATTTATAATCACAAACGTCATAGAAAATTCTTAATAGATTAAGAAAACATTAAATTTCTAATCCTAAAGTATACATTAGAAGCATATACATTTTATATTTCTTATCCCAAGATTCATACAAAACCGAAAGAAAGACGTATTCATAATCCCAAGATACCAAAGGCACTCAAAAATAAGTTATTATTTTAAACGAAATAAAATATTTCCAGTACAAAGATGCCAAATACAATTAGCAAAGGTCAGTATCTCTATACTCCTTAAAACACTTAGAAGGGAATATATTTCTTATTTCGTACCGTCCATTAGATAAGATAAAAAACTAACATATTTGACCTATGATAATCTTATAAACAATAACGATTTGTCCTTAGTATGCATAAAAGCAAAGTGAAAAGACTGTCTTGAGGAATGTGTAAACGAACTGAACTAGATATATATTAAAAACAGAAGGGTTAGTCCTAAAGTCAGAATGTCGAATAAAGGCAGAAATACTGTAGGTATATATAATAAGTGTAATCCAAGATATCCCTGTAAAGCTGAAAACGTTCTACATATACTTGTACTTCAAATAAAGGTTTTGCAATGAAGGCAGAAACACCGTATGTATATATAACAGGTCTAATCCAAGATTTCTGTGTAAAGCTGAAAACATTCTACATATACTTGTACTTCAAATAAAGGTTTTGCAATAAAGGCAGAAACACCGTATATGTATATATAACAGGTCTAATCCAAGATTTCTGTGTAAAGCTGAGAATGGTACATATGTTTGTACTTCAAAGAAAAAGTTTCCAATAAAAGTAAAAATAAAACGATATTTGGTTAAAACTAGATATTCACTAAAACTGCAAAATAAGGATGTACTAACAATCCAAAGTAACCATAAAAGCAAAAAACAAAAAGAAATATATTAAAAATATAATAATAAAACTGGCGGTGTTTACAAAGAAGTCGTAGTTACAGTCCAATATATCAAATAGAAATTAAATGAAACTTACCGATCTGAAACGATTCCTTGCACTCAGTCAAGCTCACCTGCTTGAGCTCAAACTGTGCAAGCTTTAGATCTTTGTTCATCAGCACTGAATCTTTGTTCAACCATTGGAGTTTTACCTCTCGAACGGTTTTGGAGACTTATAGAGAAAACAAAACCAGTTTAGAAATTTCGAAAGCCCATTTAAAAGATGAAATGTTTTAAGTTTAATATTAACACAGTTTAATTGACTCAATAACATTTAAATGTGCTGGTATGTGTTATTACGCCTTGCACAAATCTGCTGGGAATTGGGAAATAACAGAATCATTGAGTATGTAATAATGTTTCATTCAGAAAACAATTAAATCATTAACTATGAGTCTATAAGTTACAAGTGCCTTTTTTGTTATAAACAGATAACTTAATATACTAAACTTATTTATATATTAAAAGTCAATTCACTATTAATTTCTTGGTGTTATATATGTAAAGAAACAAGAGTAACTTAGCAAAAAGACAGCTAAGTTGCAACGTCCTAGAACTGATACAGCATTGTCTTATAACATAATGATTTTTAAAATGTTATGGTCTGGGTTGTCCTCTAGGTTTTTATTTTGTAATAAAAAGTGGTATAAATACGGTTTAACTCATTTTCTTGAAATTTGTTGAATTATTTTGGCCATACTACTCATCTTCTTCTTCAGTTTGACACTAATTTGTTTCATCAACAAAGTCGTAATCGTTTCTAAACATTAATTCTAAACAGTCTTCGAAGCATATAACACATTTGACCTTTTTAATAATAATATTCTTCGTAGGGGATTTTTACATAAGAAAAACATCAAAATGCACGATATGTGATATTTTGTGAGGCAGTTTTCCATATCTTTCACATATAACGCATTTTCAATAAAGATTAATAGCCCTGCTTTTATGTGCAAAGGAAGAATATACAGTGGAAGTTAGAGAACTCACATGACGCCAGCTCGATGTCGCAGGACTGAGCGTCTAATGGATAACGTTCCATCTCCATCATACAGGAAAAAGTTAATTTCAGTCTATGAGAAAAATACACATACATATATATATAAACTGGACCATGTCTAGATTTACTGGATTACGAAATTAGTGTTTAACGAACACAAGAAATGCATTATCTTAACAAAAAAAAAGATCTAAGTGATAATATCTACTTGGAACTAATAATACCTGGAAGATAGAGCATAATTAATTATCAAATGTATTTTGTAATGTATATCAAGTCCTTACTTTACAGGCCTAATTGGCGTAACTGATTTTTCTTTATTGTTCTCCTACTATTTTATTAAAATTTAGGAACACCAGATCTCATCAATCTGATATTCTTTTGTAAAACAAAACATATATAACATGTATATAGCAAGAGAGAAACATGTACTCGTTCCTTCTTTAAAACAAGAAATGATCAGTTCTTTAAGAACATATATTCGTTATAGAAGTAACTGCCAAAAAATAAGTACTTTATAATAACTGACTTGTACACACCAAATCATAATTATATGTATAATATACTTGATATGAGTATTATATGTATTTTGGTCACAAAACCAACATCTATAATAAAATCGTCGTTTTGATATCACCAGACACTTTTCAACAAATGTAACATTTTACTTTATTTGAAGAGATTACATGATTCCTCATGTTTTAAGCTTGGTAACCACGTTTTGATCTGTGCTAGCAGCTCAGAAGTGCGTCTTCAGACGAGCTTCAAAACATTTGGATGAAGTCTATTGAAGCCTTTGAGATGAAATATAGTTCTCACAAAATCTTCCTTAAACATTTGAACATCATAGATTATATATATATATATGTGTGTGTGTGTGTGTGTGTACAGTATTGGAAATAGTTCTGTTTACGCGGACTATTCACATGAAATGAATAATTACAGCTAAAGGCTTAACTTATCATTAGTACAACATATCATTTCAAAAAAATATAAAAACAAAACCTGAATAAGTTGTACAATACCATTAGGCATGGGATTTTGTGGGATGAAGAATCATATTTGCTCTTAATTCTAACCTTATATGAATTCCACATTTGAAACTTCCAAGCAGAGAATTGGGTTTGATAGACTATGTATCACGTCCGTTAGACATGTCCTATTCCTCTTTCAACAAAGTGAACTCTAACCTTTCCCACACTGATGCTTGTATCCTGATTTTATTAGTCTCCACCTTCCGCACAACGCTTCTTATTTTCAGACAATTAATAACTAATATATGCGAGATAAGTAAATGAAAGATGTTCCCCGGCAGTTCAGCGACATGCTTCGGGGGCTTATACCACTGTAATTCGAGACTCGATCCCCTCGGCAGACAAAACACAGATATTCCATTGTGTAGCTCCGACTTAAATTAATACAAACAAGTGAAAGTTATAACCAGTGTTTGTTTTTTTTTAATTTATTGTTCTTGATTTAATTGATTCAACTCTAGACTATATAGTCTTTGTTTCACTAAACAAGGTATGATCTTATCACGATGTGTGATAATTTTTTTTTGTTATGACATTTAAACTAGGTTGCTCGAAATGTGTATAAGTTTATTTTGGAGAATTATTCTTAAAGCGAAATATAGAACAAGTCCATTATAATTAATGTATCCTTATATATAAAAACACTTTTTATTACTTTTATCACTGTATGGAAGTTTGAACGTCCTACTTATTTGAGTTGATTACACTGTAATTAAAATGGTTAAACATCTAAGGTTAAGTCCGATGAAATACTGGTAGACGTAAAAACATTAGAACAAAACCATTGGAATCACAACAAATATCACGTGAGCAACAATTTAGACAATGAAATATTAATAAACTGGTGATGAAAACAATACAGCGGAGATCAGGCATTGTTAGGCAGTCTTGTATGACTAATAGATTAATAAAGAAAATATGCGAATAAATGGGAGAGTCATTAATATTAATTATTCGAGCAGGGAAGGTGTAGTTAATGCATTAGAGATAAATTAAAATTAACAACCTGTAATTACTACACCATAATAAGGAATAGAGAAAGATGACTACGTCCAGTTTTCGTCCTTGAAGTGCTCAAACAATGTAATAGGATAAGTTTGTTACTTACATTTCAAACAAGATTAATTAAAATAATGAAAAAAAAACTGGATCTTAGACGAACTAATTTCCTTGTATATCCAATTCTTATACGAAGATGTGAGTGAAAGTTCTGAAAAATGATATAATGTCCTTGATTAAATCGTTGCCTAGTGCTTTGGAGCTTGTGAAGCACTAGTTTACTTAGTAAAACAATTTCTAGTATGTGTGCAATTTTTACCGGATATTAATTTTCACTCTTGTATCGCTATATATATACATTCTGCTTTTCGTGCTTAAGACTCGTTATTGTATGGATGAAGCATAGTTAAATATGCTTAGTATGACAAACAATGACGACTTCATTAAACTAGAAAATTATGCTTTTCAAACCTCCCCCCCCCCAACCTGATGGCTTAGTGGTAAACTTAAGATCTTATACAAGTAAAATTAGAGTTTCGATACTCCCGATGGGCCGAGAACAAATATCCTATTGAGTATCTTTGCGTTTTACAGCAAACACACACAGACAAAAAATCTTCCGACGGACGGGAGAATTATTTATAATATGGCGTTTCAAACCGGTGCTAAAACCGGACAATATTTTTGAAACTTGGCTCTGACTTGCAAACACAGAAACAGTCATTCTGACAATAAACCTGAAGACGAAAGGCGGAAGACTTTCGAAACGTCGTCCTCTACAGTTGTAGGTTTCTACAACAGGCAGTTGCTGTCCATTTGAAACTTAGATTCATAGTAAAATAAAGTTTGTAAACCAAGCTAATTATATATCTTCATGCTTTGAAAAAAGTACACAAATACATTCTGAAATCTTAATATACAAACTTTAACTTATTTCCGAATCTAAAAGAGACGTGTGAAAATAAATTTCGACAACGTTCGTATTTCTTACATGCTATTCGGCCAACAAATGTGATTGGTTATTTTAATTGACATTTCGCGAAACCAGACGTAACTTTAGGTTAAGATCACGTGCACGTACTTTTCTGTTAAGTGTTACTGGATGAGAGAACCTAATCGGATTAGTTTGAGACAGACATGAACAGATCCTTATAAACTTTTCATTCACTACCAAGCCTGGTTTCTAATCTAGGTATTTATTCCTGATCAATCAACAGCTTGCTAAGCCTTCAAAACCGGAAAATAAATATCACGGAATTTGATTAACTCCTAGATCCCACTTCAACAAATTGCAGTTAGTCCCATTGGTATCTAAATATATATTACGTTATAGTAGTTCCAGTCTTTATTTTAGTTTTCAGTCATAGTTAAGTATCTTTATCTGGAAAGGTTTTAAGTATAGTTCAAAACTCACGTGAATAAATTAAACAAGTTATTCTGTCTTCGGAGTATAATTATTCCAATTGAAATACCGAGTAACTTTGATCATTAAATATTACAGAAAACTCTTCTTAAGTTGTTATACTTTCCAAAATATTCTTAGATCACTGTATTTAAACAATAGCCTAAAATTTATTTAGAAAAAAAAAACGACCTTTACTCTCCAGATAATAACAAAAGAAACTTTTTTTTTATTTCAGCCAACGTTTCGCCATCATGACTTCACCAAGACTTATCATACAAGAAAATACTTTCAAATCACTTCAGACATTTTTAGTTGTGGAAAGATAGCCTCATCTGTTAAATTATTTCAGACATTATTTTAACAAGTCTTCCACAATATTCTGTAAAGTTATTCCACCCCACAATGTTATTTAAGTAACGATTTATCATCTGTATTTCACTTTCATAGGTGAACCCCCCCCCAAAAAAATGAATTATAACAAAATTTGTAAAATTTTAACAGATATCTGGACCACCGTGACCCGTTGGGTCAACCACTATTCAGAAGTTATGAAGAATTCAAGCTAATTTCAATATTGCACCGAAATGAAGGTTTATTTTCAGATAATTTAATTGAATATTTCAATCCATTCGTATTAATCATAATTCAAGAAAAGATATTTGATTGTTGATCGGGAGTGAAAGGAAAGACCATTCCATTTTTCAAAAGAAAAAGTGAAGTTAGAAGTTTCATAAAAAACGGTAGTGTGAATGATTTTTTGACTGAGAAAATAAGCAAGCAAACAAACAAATCTCAGAGTTTTAGTAGTATTTAGATAGAATCTTCAAGATCTTGTTTTTATCGTCTTACGCCTTTTAATGAAGATGGGAACATTGACAGGGAAATAATATAATAGCTAATCCTTGGCGAGAGGTTTTCGTTTATAAAATTTTGTTGTTGTTCTCGACTTGATTTTTATTTTATTACCTCGTCTCCGTAGTTACTATTTGCAAATAGTCAATAATATTGTAGGTCCATTTTATTGTTGTTCTTTCTATGCGCCGTTAATAACACATTTTCATCTCATCATTTAATTTCTGTTTTGCATATATTCTTGTATAGAAGATATTTTAAAGTGATTCATCAGGTGCAAAATGAATAAATAGATACATAAACCGATATGTGGTGCCATCTATTGTACCTAAATAGATCTAGAAATGTTCATAAAAGTGACCCGAAAAACGGGGCTAACTCGGTAACCCGTGGCCTGATTTTAACGAAACTTGTTTTATTCTGTTTCTATTCTCATTTCTATTCTCATTTCATTACAAATATAGCGGTATTGTGCGCCGTGTTTGCTGTATTTAATTACAGACAAGCAAAAAAACAATCTCAGAGTTTTAGTAGTATATAGATTACACAATTATTACTTGATGATATCGATTTGGAAAATTATAGAAAAAGTGAAAAAGTCTGGACCACAGTTTGTCAAGGATAAAACAGTCTATTTATGTGTTACTTGTAGCAGGTTAATTATATTTGATGTAATTAATCAAAACATTTCATGTAACAAAAGAAAAACTGGTTCTATTCTTTAACATAAAATTAATAACTTCGTCAGTAGACGAAATTGTGATCTGGTGATGGAAGCTTACAACTCAATAGTAGGTAGAACATTTAGTGAAATATTTTAATCTATTTATTATTGATAGAAAATTTTCTCAATAAATATGACACTTGGAGAAACTAAAAAATGTGAGAATTGAGATAGAAAGTAAAGAGAACTAAATGGACGACACACACAGCGAGAAAGTGAATGTCAAGATGCACGAGAAAGTACTAATATGATATTATAGAACTTTATGACACACCAAGGCTGTTTATTGAAACCCTGTTAATAATTTCAGGAAATTAAACTAATCATTATGTCGCCTAAAAACCTAAAAAGAAAAATATTGGAATTTTCATTCAAAAAAGCTCGAAATAGGAGATTGACCAAGTTACTTTAGGAGGCAAAATACCTTATTACAACACTACAAGTGGTTCTGACAACTACTAACAATGGATATAAATTGTGGGTTACAAAAGTACAATATATTGCAGTTTAAGGTGGAAAAACCCAAGAAAATAAAAAGGTGAGATATAATTTGATATTTTATATGAACGTAATGAAAACAGTTGTAATGAAAGAAGTGATGATTGATGAAATAAGAAGTACAGTCGAGACTGAGAATAGAATTCAATAAAATTAAAATTAAATGTCGTGATTCTAAATGTGTTGCAGCAAAAACCTTACATATTAAAAGATGGGAAATAAAGTAATAGAAACAAGTCACTGAACTTGAAAGTAATAGAAATACATTAACAAAATAATAATTGGTACAGTTTCTAACTTCTGTAGGAATGCCGAAAAATCACGAATTGTTGTTAATCTTTTTGAAACCAATTTTCGAAACAGTTAGAAGTAAAGTAACGTTGAATAAGGGATTCAGCATTGGGACTTATAACAGTGGCACAGCGGTATGTCTTTAGACTTACAATGCTAAAAACCGGGGGTCGATACCCGGGTGGGCAGAGCACAGATAGCCCATTGTGTAGCTTTCTGCTTAACTTCAAACAAACAAACAAATATTTACGAGGCTCTACACATACAAAAACTATTCAGACACAACATATAACGCTAAAACAATGAAGATAATGTTATATACTTAAGGTATGACTAAATAACTCACGAAAAATGTACTATTGTTGACACATGTGTTCGTGTATTCTGTTAAAATGATGAAACTAACTGAGCATGTTTATTTGTTTCTGATAATTGTCCGAAGATATACAATGGCTATGTATGCTAGCCGTCCCTAATTTTCAACCGATAAACTAAATGGAAGACAGATAATCAATAGCACACACCGCCAACTCTTGAACTACTCTTATCTTATTGAGCAGTATGATTTGACCATCATTCTTATAACGTAGCTATAGCCCCAAAGAGCGGAGCGCGACTTTGCATCAAAGGGATTCTAACCAAGGAACATTTAGAATGAGAGAATCTAATTAAATAAGGGATAAACCTAAACACAAGAGAAAATAAACTAAAGATATTATCATGGAATACTGATAATTTGAAAAGGTATATTAAGGAACAGACAATTCTATTTTTTCGTGGAGTTTGAGATAAATGCTGTAATTGGTTCTAAACCATGAACCCTCTGATCCACAGTATGACCACACTAACAACTAGACTACGCCCTATTCAATATTAACTAAACATATAATTTCATGACATACCACATACTTCCCTTACAAACACAGATATAAAATGTTAAAACCAAGAAAACTGAAAGACCCATTAAGTAAAACCAATAAACACCTTGATTTAAAAATATTTTTGATGCATTGGCTTTAATCCTATAATTAGTTTTTACAGCCCCGATTGTTTGTATTTGATTCAAATAACCTTTTCTTACTTTGCTGTAGGTTTTTCAGATCACATTAATTATTACCTTACAATCAACACCATGTGGTCCAAGTCGTTATATTTGTGTTTAAGTGCTAAGCTGTACAATGAGCTATTTGAGCTGTGCTCACCACGAGTGTCGAAGTTTTTGTTTCAGTTTAGGTATAATTTATATGTAGATAATGTATACTATCGCCTTCTTAATTAATCTTAAATACTTTTACCTAGAGTTTTATTACACCAGGAAGATAACATTTTGCTCTGTTAGTATATATCTTTACATTAAACACATTCAATA